ATAATCCAGCAATATCCAAACAGCAATCCCAATAACTGGAAGACACACAGCATCAGGAGCAGAACTAAAGATTTATTCAGGCAGTGGCCTTATAAAGCATGCTCCCATGCAAGGGAGGGATTTACACTCATTAATACAGTAGCCAATCCTGTTCTGGTAACCTCCCACACATCTCCTCCCCTCAGCCTGCATCATAATCCCCTTATCAAGGACACCAATTACCCCCGTTTCTGGATGTACCCCTAAACCTAGGGGTACCGCTTTAAATTATACATCCCCTGCTAGCCCTGATCTGGGTGAACAACATATCCAAAAATCACCCAGATCAGACCAGGGGTTCGGGAAATTTATGGAGGGAATAAAATGACCGACCGCGCTGGAAAGATTAGCCGAATTGGGTTCCATGCGATGGGGCCCTGCGGTCAGTCCTGGAACAAGGGAATAAAAAACACAAAAGCCTCCAGTTACAGAGACTAGGGAGGGCTCGTCTGAATCCCCTCGAGGGGCCGTTCGGTAGTTTGGAACCGAACGGACCGGGCTTGTGGAGGTCTCAGCGATGTTCGCCTAGTCGAGTGTCCGATTTGAGTTCCAGACACTCGACAACAAAACACCGATGTTCGGGAGTTTTAAAATGGCCGCCGCCATGTGTTCGTTTTCCGAATGGCGGCCACCCCCGAGAAAAAAGGACTGCTACTCTGCTTGTCAATTACCGTTTGCAACAATGTTGCAACGGGTAATTGAAGGCACACTTCACACAGGGGAGATCTGACTGTTCGGTAGTTTCATTCCCTTAGTTTGTTCGAATGATTCTACCGAACAATCAGACGAATACAATACATTTAGCACACATAACTTTGCCATTTACACGAATGCAGTCAAAACATATGCAATTCTCAGGACAGCCCAGTGCCATCTGCTACATGCTGCACTGGCCAGTCACAGCCATGCCATTAATAGGCAAGGCTGTGATGGCTTCTAAGGGCACACAGGTCAAACGCTTGTTGATTGACTGCCCTGCAACCTTTCAAAACGTGCCATTAAATTGGCAAACATCGAACTCCGACCCGAACATACAGTGATATATCAGTGTTCGGGTCCGGGGTCCAAAAAACATAATTTTTGGTACGAACCCGAACTTTACAGTCCGGGTTCACTCAACTCTATTTAACACCAAAGGAATTAAACTGTTTGAAGCAGAAAGGACACTTTTCCCAAACTGATCCAATTGTTCTGCTTTGACATCCAATTGGTAATATCTGATAAATGTATTGGATGAGGAAGAAGTGGCTTCTCTGCAAATCAGCTCTGGAGAAACTTTAGC